TACTTGCAATAGGATCCAGGCATAATAAAATCACAGTAAGCATCACCGACAGGACAACCCGAAATTTCAGAAGCCAGAACAACCTGTTCTGCCGTAGACAAGGACACGCTGAAGTATGAGACAAGCGCAATAGCAAGTGTTGGCGTCACCGACATGTTAAGCACGTAATAACAAAAAATAACTGAAGACAATAAACGTACACCATAGAACACATCTCTCCAAGATGAGAGGAACAAGAACCATCAGCTTGTAAAGCTTACACACCTATCAGGTTACTGATGCTATACAGAAACCCCCTCAAATTCCACTTACCAACTGAGTACATTATGACAATAGAGTGATCACTTTAGACAGTGAATCACAATAGCTATTAGCTGATGGCTAGAGCCGAGTGGATTACTTCATAACACATATTAGCGAGCCTGATTGGAGCACCCTTCTGTAAGAAGTGACTAGTGGAGCTAAGGGTATGAGTGTAGACCCTTAGAGTTGAACTCCATGAGTTTGTATGCTAATACACAGCGTACTGGGAGGTCGCATTCACCGGGTGTTTGAGTGTGTCATGAACCTCGAACAGCTGAAAAGTGGAGCCTCAAACTATATAGCGTATACGTTACAATGACCTTGTGAGAGAAGGTTTTTGTTTCTTGACGGATCAACGATTCTATGGAATTGATCGTAAAACTACTAATCTGTCGACCAGTCGAGTTTGAACGCAACTAGCACCATCTCACCATGCATCGTGTTGAACGCGACGCGTTTATATAAGTTCTTCTCGAAGCTGATAATTCGCGAAGTGTCGAATGAGTTTGTGAGTTGCATCGACTAAAGAGAAAAATATTTTGGACGCGGTATTAGACATTCGCATATCTAACCTTCCTGGAAGAACATTAATAGATGAAGTCCTGAATAACACAGAGTTTAGAAACCTGTGAATGCGAGAAATCAATGCCCATTACATCAACCAACATGTTTGTGGGTTTACTTTGGCTTAATTCACGAGGTACAAAATCCGATGCTAAGGAACGAAGAAAGTGGGAGAATCGGATCGTCCAACTTGGCAGAGTTCGACGGCGCAGCACATTGCAATACTCCAGCAGATAGGATAGATGCGAAAGGTGGACTGCGAAACGAGAGCTGATAAGATGAGATGACGAAAAGAAACCGCGGAGATGGGCTGGTCACCCTCGACAACTATCGGAGACCTCAAAAGCAGCTGATGTGTGATAGGCATTGTCTGACCGCCTAGCCGGAATCGGCTTCGAGCGAGAGAGAGAGTCTAGCCCTGTGACAGTCTTTCTCTCATCGCTACTGTCAACCATAACAGAGGCTGATGGTGCATAATAAGTTGATGCTGACTATGAGTCAGTGACTTCAACGCAGAGAATATCGATCGCCCATGTATTATTCACTAGAATCTAAACTCATCCTTCTTAATCACTTGGGAGAAACATCTCTACTACTTAGCAAAGGGGTAGCCGAAACAATGGCATCATAGCAATGACAGAATTTGAGCGCCTCGTCAGCGCGCTGGAGCAAATGATCGTTCGAACGATCAGCCTCCGAGGAAAGGCACTTAAAATTAGGCAGTAGAAAAAATGGAAAATAGCAATCAACTGAGATCAGAGGTACATCACTCATGCATTCAATGCCGAGTCACGGATTTCATCGGCCTCCTTCTGAGTCTTCTTGTAACGACGTCTCAGTTCAGTAAACTGCTCCGGAGTGGCTTGGAAGTCCTGGAAGCCAGCAGCATCGAGCCACTCAGTAGATGGGCCATAGCCAACTTGAGTATAACCCCAATCAGAATAACCATTCTGATATTTGCCGAGGAGAGTATAATGCAAATTGAGCCACTTCTCAGTAACATAGTCACCAAAGCCATCCATCTCGGTCTCTACTTGGTCGGGGCTTTCAGTGGCCATCATAACATCAACTTCGTGCTCGATCTCGTACTGAGCCTTCCTAACGTCATTGATCATATACATGTACTTGAGATCCATGACGTTACAAACAGTTTCAGATGCCCACCAAAGGGACTTATCGCTGAACTCTCCCTGCCAAGAGTACTCAAGGGCAGGAATAGACTTAACAGTCTGATCGTGCTTGACAATGATGGGAATGTAAACACTGGCATGTGGGGTCATTGGGGCGAAGTAAATAACATTATAGTCCTTATACGTAACAGCAATGTAAGAATACATAGTACGATAAAGAGAGATTGCCCTTTCCCAAGCACCGTGCTGGAAAGTAGCTTCAGCACGCCCACCGGCATATCTATTGGGAGTCTTGAAGGGACCACCAGCAACGACATGATCAGTGAGGTCATACGCAGTTCCCTCCATGTGATCTCTGTAGAAGCGCCTCATAAAGTCAATGGTAACGGGTACATCTGGCTCCACTGAGAAGGGATAGGTTGGATGATCCCATTCGACACCAAGAGTTGGATCGAGATTGAGCGAAGGGGCGAAAAGGGAAAGACCTCTCCACACACGACGACCGGAGTAATAAGGATTGTTGTACTCGCTGACACTATACGTGGCAGTAAAGTCCAGAAGACCCTCACCATTCCACCAACCAAGTTTCAAAGCGATATCGAAGATGTTGTCAGAGAACATAAAGTTGTCACCATCACTTGGATCGATCTCTCGAATAACAAAGACATTCGGGACGATGGTAGCATGGCCTTTGGGGACTCTTTCAGCAGCCCACACTGCACCTTCAGCGGTATCATCAGGTAGAATATGGAATACCCATACCTCGGTACCATCGGCGATTGTTAATGCCTCGCCAGCCTCTTTAACGCCAATAGAACCGTAGAAGCCATGCTCCTCAGCGAGCTTACCCATTGTCTGTATGGCACATCTAGCAGTGGAGCAGACCTCGAGGGCGATATCAGACAATTCACCCACCCAGAACAAGGCGCCGCTACCGTTCGGGCCGTCTCCCTTCGGAACAGAACTCAAACGTCCACTGCAGCTGCTCTCACCCATCGATAAACCGGCTTCATTCATAACACCATAAGCGGCATCCCAATACCCGTAAGTCGTCCCTTCCGGCATGTCAATGTACCCGATAGGTACACTGGGCTTTTGGTCGGGAGAGGTGGGAGCATAACTCGGGGCTCGAGAGGCATCAACAATTCTCGGGTAGTTTTGAAACTGTTTGTAGACAGCCCTCTTCTCACCAGGTCCATAAGTCTTCGGAGGAACATAAACCATTCGGAAGTCGAGAGGACTTCCATCAGCGCTTGTGGCAGCGATGCACCCACCATCAGCGGTAGCGGCACAATCAACAGCAGTAGCTGTACAGTGATCATGATCTAGACGATCACGAGGTGCAGACAGGACGGCTCTACTCAAGCCGACCGAGGCCAAGAGGACCAAGACGAATGAAAGCATTCCTACACAATCAATGAAAAAACTGATTGAAGAGCATTGAAGATCTCATTTGACGATGAGCTTTGTTGACTGACTGACAGCCCCTGGTATCCTCGAGGCTAGCCGTGGCTACGATACGGCAGGCTTTGCGCCGGGGGACAGAGGACGACGCCCATTCAGGAACGTGAATGTGCCCTTAACAAAAGTGGATATTTTATTGTGATAAGGGGCGCAATTCCTAATACCAGTACAACAGAGATTGTAATCCGAGTCATTCGATGGTCCTTCGTGTCAACGCAAAACCCTATCCTGTACAATAGCATCAGTCTGATCAGCGGAAACACTCATGAGACATTTCGAACTTGCTTAACATGATACTCATAATAGCCCTCTCACAGTAAACATGTAACAAATACTCCAACTTTAATGGGCGAAAACTTTTATGTTGAGGTCAATGATTCCTCTGGTAGCCTTGTATGCGATAACATTAACCCTGGAAGGCTTCCAGTGGGAGCTGACCTAATGAAATGGCGAAGTGACAGAGTGGACGAGAAT